CTGGGAGCCATGGAAAAAGGGGTACAGTAAAGCCTGCCTTTTCAAGTGGACTGTGAAAGTGCTTTGAAAGTTGAAAGGTAGAGGAATTAACACAAGCTTCTGTTATTTATGCCCTATCAGTACCTATGCTATCAGCACGCAGACTGGGTGGCAGTTCAAACATACCCAGAGGCACCACGGAAGAAAGATCTAGTGATTAACTTGCACAAGATCCCAGTTGTTAGAAACCATATGGAACACAGCTATGTGTTGGCACATATAGGATCACCATGAGCTGGGATCACTTGCCTATTGTTGTTATGTGCCGTCGAGTTGCTTGCGACTCATAGTGACCCTATGTACAAAAGCCCTAAACTCTACTCTGTCCTGTGCCAGTTGCACTGTCCCTGACATTCCCATCCCGATTACCCCAGTCACTGACTCAATCCACCTCATAGAGGGTCTTCCCCTCCTGCGCTGTCCCTCCACCCTCCCAAGCATGATGTCCTTCTCCAAGGACCTGTCCCTCCTCACAACATGTCCAAAGTATGTTAGACGGAGTCTCAGAATCCTTGCCTCCAAGGAGCAGCCCAGTCCTGTCAATTAAGTCATAAAGTCCTGACTAACAAGGGAAAAAGAAATACAGCTGTGCTGTTGTTGTTGGGTGCCATGGAATTGAGTACGACTCACAGTAACCCTATGAATAACAAAAAGGAACTCTATCCTGAGCCACTGTTCCATCTCTACCATGCTCAAGCCAACTGTCACAGTTAGTGACAATTCGTATCATTGGAGGACTTCTCTTTTGCTTTTACCAGGATGATGTCTTTTTCCAAGGACAGGTTCCTCCTGACAACATGCTTAAAGTATGTGAGAGTTTCACCACCTCTGCCTACAAGAAGCACCCTGGCTGTACCTCCTCAAAACAGACTGCTTTGTTATTTTGGTAGCTCACCGTTCTTTCGACAGTTCATCCAGCACTCTTTATTACAATTCAAAAGCACAGATTCCGCTTTGGTCTTTCTTCTTCATTGCCCAACTTTCAGAGGCATAAAAAGCAACTGGGATCAGACAGACCTTAGTTTTTTATACTGATATTCTTGCTTGGAGGGAGTCAAGTATACAGATATGGGTAGTTTAATATTCACAATATGTTCTGTGAAATAGGACATTATATAATTTGGACACTGTTTGAACACCATAATATATACACTGTAAATGTCTTTGTGTATATTTGGTAGACATATCAAATGTAGCTCCTGCAAGCAAGCTGCTCTGGCTCTGTTCACTTCAGGGTTTTCCTGTAAACTTAGAGCTGCAATTGGCTGCCACAGGGTACATGGCACTTTCTGAACAATCTTGGGGAGCTTGATCAGATGCAAGGTTCCCGGGGGGTAGCTAGTGCCTAGAAGAAGATGAGGCAGGATGGGCAGTGGGAGATTCATCATATTACTCAGAACCGTGTGTGACTTAATTATTTTGGGGTTGTGGTTCAGAATATGCAACTGAAATTGCAGATAAGGGGAGAGAACTGTGTTTGATTTAATCCTGTTATTAAGACTCTCAGACACTTATAGAGAGGGTACGTGGAGAATCAGAGGGTTTTCAAGGACATGGCTTCCTGGTGCTCAGTGCTCTGTGGAATTCCCCGGACACTCCCCAAAGAGCAAAGGGGCCCTCCAGAGCCAAATCTTGCCCATTTTACATTAGCATGCAAGATCACTAGAGGAATAGGATTTCTTCCATCTCCCCAAAGCTTCCTCAAAAGAGTGTGAGAAGAAGTATAACATGCAGTAAAAGAATATGATAAAAAATCATTTAATACAATTAATAGTGAAGCAAGCTTTCTTTCCTCTAAGGGGGTTGGTTAATTGATAGAGAATAACCTGGACACAGATTTCAATTTAAATTCTTTATTACTGCTTCTTAATAGCCTATTTGCTTACGTTATTATTTTCAAATAATATAATATCATTGAAAGTGCTACTGAAGTTAACCTGATATTTGCCTCATTTTTCAATTTGGACCATAGGGAATGTGCTATTGATGTCAGTTGTCATCAAGTCACTCTGACTTATGATGAAATGTAACACTGCCTTGGTTCTTTGTCATCCCAGTGATTGGCTGCTGGTTAGAGCACTGCGATCCGTAAAGTCCTAGGATTTGCAGAATAGATCACCAGGCCTTTACTCTGAGCTTGTGTTAGTTTCAAAGCTCCACTTAAATCTATGAAGCATTATGGCAACATACCAAGTATCCACCGACAGATGGTTGAGGAAATGAGGCAGTGACTGGAAACTGAGCCCTGGTTTCCTATATGTTGTTGTTGGATACTACAGAGTCAGAACGGACTCATAGCTAACCCTCCAGGAGGTCTTCAGAGGTAGCAAACACATGGGCTTACTGCTATGGAGAAGGTTCAGCCAAAGTATTCCTTGGAGGCATAGATGATAAAGCTTCATCTCACATACTTTTGGAATGTTGCTGTGAGAGATTATTTCTTATAGAGGGGCATCATGTTTGAAAAGGTGGAGGGGACAGTGAAAGACATGAAGACACTGAATCAGGTGGATTGACACAGTGACCAATGGTCTCGAGTGTGTCCCAAATTATGAGGGTGGCCCAGGATAAGACAGGGCTCAGATCTGTGGCTCACAGGATCACTATGAGTCACACTTGACTCAATGGCACCTAACAACAACAACAACAACTAATTACATGGGAAGAGTTTGCCCATCTTCTTCCTGTGGAGCAGCTGGTGGATTCAAACTGTGTGCCTTTGCGTTGGCAGCCTAATTCCTTACCACTAAGCCTCCAGAGCTCCTGGTTTTCTATGTAGAAGGAGAAAATTCTACTACTGGCTTAATGATCTAGTGCTGCCAGAACAGAAATATTATAAGTAGATGGTTTAAACAAAGAGAAAATGATTTTTTTTACCATTTATGAGGTTAGAAGTCCATATTCAGGATGTCATCCCTACGTGGACCTTTCTCTCTGTTGTCTCTGATGAAGGTCTTTGTCTCTCCTGAGCTTTTGCTCCTGGGCAAGCTTCATGTGACACATCTCCTTCCCGAGCTCTGCTCTGCTTGCTTGTTTAATCTCTTTTATATCTCAAACGAGACTGATTCAAAGAATACTCTGTACGAATCCTACCTTAGTGTAACAAAGACAACACATTCCCACATGGGCTTATAACCAAAGGCAAAATGGAAAGAAAACCAAAACCACTGCTGTAGAGTCGATCCCTTTCACAGTGACCATAGGGCAGGGCAGAAACCCCAAGGCTTTATGGGAGTAAACAACCACATCGTTCTCCCGAGGAATGGCTGCTGAGTTCAAACCGCCACCCTATTAGCAGTGAAGTGCTGTAAACACTACATCAACAGAACATGATAAGAGTTAAGCTTTACAACACGTAATTCAATCCATAAAAACCAATGAAACAGTATATAGGTTAACCGGTAGACCTACTGGACTTTTAGAATTCTAGTAACTGAAATAATTCAAGAAATGCTTGGTCTATAAACGATATCCTCTTTCCAAAGTTATATAATGTCCCTTTATTAATTTGGCTTCTAAAACATCAGTTTACCCCACAGAACTTCCCATAATGCACCAATTCCTACCAAGAGCAACCTGACTCCTTTTTCCTGCAGATGCAATAATGTCTGTTTCCACCTACAGTATGAGCCTAATACACTATGTCACTGAATTCTACTCATTTTAAGAGTTGGAAAATTAAAGTTAAGCATAAATACTATGGAAAAAAATCATTGTTGATGTTGTGTACCACAGAGTTTAACCTACTCATAGCTGACCCTCTCGCAGGTTTTCAGAGGCAGTTAATGGCACAGGAGGAGATTTGGCCATCTTTCTCCTAAGAAGCAGCTGGTGGCCTCAAACTGCATGCTTTGGGGATTGTAGTGCAGCTTCTTGCCACTAGGCTACCAGAGCTCCCTGGTTAATGCTTCCTGGCATCAAACCATGGAATCCACCAAAAACAATGTGGAAAGAATCATATAGTACCATTAGATTTTTTTTGTTAGTTTCATATTATAATATTTTTATACCTCAAAGGGAGAAGGTTGGCAGATTAATGATATATTAGATATGATCATGAAATAAAGCATTAATTATTTAGGAGTAATTATTTTTTATTAGAATAGAAATTTTAGTATCACTAATTTCAGTAAACTACATAGATAAAATTGGCTAATACTATATTATCTATAGTTTTGGTTTTTTTTTTTTAATTTAGGTTGTTTATTTTTCATTTCAATGAACATCTACAGAGATTTTGGGATTCCATTCATTCATTGTTGCACCCTTCTCCCCGCACAAACCCCTCCCCCCTCCCCCCCATTTGCTCCTCTCCTTGAAAAGCAAAAGAAAAACTCCCTCATTGTATATTATCTATAGTTTTACAATAATAAAAGTAAAATGGAATACTATCAGCATTCCATGAAGCTACTCTTTCAAATTATTATTCCTCTCCACTTACAGTATGGGTAATGACTTGCCAACACTTTCTACACATACCAACTTCTATTCACAGAAACCTATCATTCCAAATTCATGCTATTCTCTCATTTTTACCTAGGTAGGTATTCAAATGATAATGAAGTTGAATGTATAACTGAGGTAAACACAAGGGGGCAGTAGTCTTCACTTGTGAAAGGTATTTTTCCTATCTCAGATTGGGAATTGAACTGTTACCTCAAAGGTGATGCCTCTCTGCCAATCTGAATTCATCAGAGGCTTCGAGGGAGAAAGATCAGCAATCTCCACCTGAGCCACTTACTGCCTACCAAAAACCTGCTGGGAAGTCAGCTATGAGTTGACTCTGACTCAATGGCAATGAGTAAGGGACCTCAGGTTAGAAATGAGATGTTTGTGGAAATAGCTTTTTTACTTCAGTAAGTGTCTGAGAAGCGCTGGCCTTCATATGTATTACTCACTATGTATCTTCTGTATAGTTGAAGCTACAGAAAGGATTGAAATGATCACAGAGCTGGACTTACCTTTAAGAAGGCTTTCTTCTCCAAAGTGTTCATGATAAAGGGAGGGATTGCTGGAAGTAAAGACAGATCCACATTAATCTTTATTTAATGCTTATTTTTCTGCTCACATGTCTCCCCTTCGAAAGGCTTATTCTGTTTTTAGGCTATTTTCATAACAGCAGAGGGAAAACCATTGGCAATAATTCTTTAAAATACTTTAATACTAAAAAAGATCCTATTGTTCTCATTTCTAAGGAGCCCTGGTGGCACAAATGGTTAAATGCATGGTTGTTAATAAAAATGTTAGTAGTTCAAACCCATCAGTATTATAGAGTGAATATGTGTCCCCTAAAACAACCTGTTTAAACCTGTATACTTGTGGTTACAGTCCCATGTGAGAATGAGTTTTGTTATGTTAATGAAACAGGATTATTGTTGTTGTTCTTGTTAGGTGCCTTCAAGTCTAATACAACTCAGAGAGACCCTATGAATGACAGACCTGAACCTTGTCCTATCCTGTGCCATCCTTATCATATCTGACACACTCTGACTGCCCGCTGCGACAGTTACTGCATCCATCCACCTGGTTTGAGAGTCTTCCTCTCTTTCGCTGACATTCTACCTTTCCAAGCATGATGTCTCTCTACAAAGGATAGCCCCAAGGAGGCAGGATTAGTGCAAGAAATATTTTAAATGATCTCTTTATGGACATAAAAGGATCAGATTAAGTAGGCAGAGATGCAGGGTGACAGATGCTGTGATGATCACCAAAGAACCCAGGGACAGAAGCTGAAGAGACAGGGACTGTCCCCAGGGCTGACAGAAAGTGAAGTCTTCTCCTAGAATCGGCACCCTGAATTCGGACTTCAAGCCTCCTAAATGTCAAGAAAATAAACTTCTGTTTGTTAAAGTCACCCACTTGTGGCATTTCTGTTATAGCTGCACTAGAATACTAAGGAGAGAGCTATAATGGTATGTTCCTGAGAGAGTTATGTTACGCAACTAACACAAAGGTGGTGCCTCTCTGGTGGCTCAAAGCCACCAACGGCTTGGAGGGAGAAAGGAGAAAATGGCCAGTCTCCTTCTGTGTAATTTACTGCTCCAGAAACCTGCTGGAGCATCAGCTACAAGTTGGTTCCAACTTGACAGCAATGAGGAAGTGAAATGAGGATAACTAAGAAATTAGCCAGGAAGGTTTAGAATCGTGAAGACAGTTTTCCATTTAACTTTAAACGTATAATTGTGCAAACAAAACACTAGCAACTCTTCCCTCCCATAATGAAATGTGTTCCCTGGTGTTATGGGTTCAGTTGCATTCCTCAAGAGTAATACTGAAGTCCCTTACTATGAACATGACCTTGGTTGGAAATAGTGTTCTCTTATATTACGCTAAGGAGGTGAATACCAGAGCTGTTGGGTCTCAAACCTAATCCTTTGTGAACTGTATGGTATTAAAAAAAATTTAACAAAAAAGAAAAGAGATGCAGAGAGACAGATATATACAGATGATGGAAGCACATACACTTAAAAGTAGCAAAGGAAACCCAAGGATTATTGGGAACCAAGAGAAACTAGGGGAGAAGCCCACAGAAGGAATCAAAATGGCTGAGACACTGGTTTGTATTTTCAGGCTCCAGAAATATAAGGAGGGTGGGGGGAAATCTATTCTTTAAAGCCTCCTACTTACGGTTTGTTGTGGGTTTCTTCTCCCACTGCAGTGCTAGGAACTAAGACACGCGGGCACCCACCACCCAGCACAGGTGGGCAGTACTGATTCAGAGCGCAGAGAAGCTTGGCTAGAGCCAATCGGATTCCCTCCAGTGCAGGCTATCCCACTTGCTTTTGGGCGATCCTGGCAAAGTACCCTAACTTCTCCGAGCCTCAATCTTCTGTTTTCCTCATCCGTAAAATGAGGAGCCTTGCATCAAACCTGCTGTGACGATCAGACGTGATTTTGCACCGCCTGGTATATGGTAGGCAGTGTTGGTTGATTTACCCACAACTTTTCTCAGACTAAACTGTTACAGGACCTATTCCAGTATTTCAATTACATTTACAAATCTCACCGAAATTGGAAAATGATGCTTTTTCTTGGGGGACTAACCAGTGTTTAAAATAACAGAGTGACTGAAAAGTGATTTGTTGGGTAGGGTGAACTCCGAGAAGAGCAAAGCATTTATATACTGGGGTGCGAGCACAGCCAAAAGCACACCCCGGGTAGAAGCTGACGCTGCCCAGGCAGCATCACAAGTGCCCCTCTTGGAAAGGGTGGGCTCAGCAGCCACATGGAGGATCTTTGCTGCCTCCCAGGTTAATGACAAGTTGTTAGAGCAATGGTCTCTGGGTATCAGCCTCAGGCTATTTACTTCTTCACAGAATGTTGGGGCCTATTAACGAAAAAAGCCTACCAGTGCCAAATTCAAATTTTTACATTTCCAATGACTTTAAACACAGCCTCAAACACGCGGATCTGAGCCACACAGAGTCCATCTGCTTTGCATACTCCGTACAATGTGCCCAGCACTGAAACTGTGCCCAATACATAAACACTCACCACTCTATGGCATCAAAATGGAACCAACACATGGCTAGCTGACCGTCCACTGGGTTTCTGAGGCTGTAAATCAGCCGGGAGCCGGACGTTCATCTTTTCCCTCAGAACCACTGATAGATTTGAAATGCCAGAGGTGCCACCTTTGTACTGTCTACGGACTTTGCTGCCAAAGCTCCCCAGTATTCTCCCTCTCGTTGCCGCTGAGTCAGGAGTGACTCATGACTGACCCTTCCAGGGGGTTTTTGGAAGCTTCAAATCACACAGGAGACTGCCCTGAGATTCTCCTGAGGAGATGGATTCAAACTGCCACAGAGCAGCCACCTTTGGTTAGCAGGAAACTCCCTACCTGCTCAAGAGCTCAGCTCGAGCATATCATTTACAAAATAAATAGGTCATCAATTCAAAACAAATATGTTTGCCTAGAAATCATGCATGCTGGGCTGCTGTTAGATACAGTGGATGATAACATTATAAAACACATGTATACCTAAAAACAGCTCCAAATAAGTGGATTTTAGCTCTTCAGTTAAGCGAACACTGCAATTTTTATAAAGAACTCAAACAACAGCTGCCCCTTGGAGCTCTGAGACCCAGATATTCCTCATGTGTCCCCCAGGAAACCCCCTTGCTCTCTTCAGGTGCTTTGTCCAGCCCTGTATCACATTCCTTCGCAAAGTGTCCAGTTGTCAGGGGCCCTGCCCACCTGAGGCAAAACCTAGCAATGCTTTAGCTCTAATAAATAGTTTTGCAACACTGCCATCTCCTGGTCATATAATTTTCTTTGAAAAAGTCTGAAGCAGAACTCTGGGCTCAGGAGTCTAATACTTCACAGACACCCTCCCGATGCTCCCTTGTCAGGAGGATCCTGGTGGTCTTTCCCTCTTAGCAGGCATGCCAACATTATGTGCCTCTAAGTGTCCCTCATACACTGTTCTCCAATTTTTGGTGGTTACTCGCATTCACACTGACAAAAAGTACTTCAAATAGCAAAAAGTATTCAAAGGAAAACTTGACCACAGTATGCTCCATTCGTGAGCTTAGTCTTAACTGATAAATGCCATTTTCATTTAGTATAGATATCATTAAATATATTAATTTCTGGGATAGCTGCCTCTCCTTACCAAGAATACTATAAATTCTAGGTATTCAGATTTCATTTTTATTAAATTGTGATTTGAGTGCATGCTACTGTTAACATTTTACAACACTGATTACAAGACTCACTATGTAATAGCACTCTTCCCACTTCCTTCCATAATTCTTATTTTCATTTACTTCAATCATTCCCCAATCTGCCTTCGGGGCTTGATCCTTGGGCAAACATTGACCTAACATGGTTTTTCTAAGGAGTGTATTTGTCGAGTGTTACTGGTCACCCTATGTGGTTGAAAGTTGAACTAATATGGTGAGTTTTGTTCCAGGTTTGAAAGATGATGAAGGGTCATAGTCCTGAGGGTTCCACCCGTCACTTTCAGACCAAGGAGCTCTACTGGCCTAGTGCATAAAGAATTGTACTGCAAACTCAAAGGCACCTGGTTCAAATCCACTTGCTGCTCTACTGGGGAAGGATGGGCAGTCTCCTCTCATGCTATTTATTGCCTCAGAAAATCCACTGGAAGGTCAGCTAAGAGTCTGTTCCTGCTCAAGGGTACCAAACAACAACAGCCTTGGGAATTGTGAAAAAATACATTTCTATTCTTTAAAGGCACCCACTTGTGATATTTCTGTTATAGCAGCTAGGAAATAAAGACAGCTCTTAGCACCATCTCCAATGCTACATAGTTTACTTATTTTGTATGTTTTCTGCTTCTCCAAGTAGCATGTAAATTCCACCAGAGAGGTGATTCTGCTGTTGCTGTTGTTCACTGATGCATGAGAGCCTGTCTGACAAATATTTACTGACTATGTGACAAGGTTCCACTGACCCATGCCGGGGGCTGCCATGAGGATCCTGGAGACGACGACTTGTGTGATGGCTTGTCTGGCAGCATTCGCTGATTCACCCAAGCGGTTCCCGTTTTCATCGGTGACAGGAATGCCCACTTTGAGTTCCCTGTGGAGCAAAATACATACAAAGAAGTTCACAAATGTCTTTATCAAAGGGCTTGAAATAATACCGTGTTGGGAATGCTCAAGATAAAAAATCCTCTCAAGTGTCATTTCGTCACTAATAAGTCTATTTTTCACTACTATGAAAAATTTCTGATCAGCAAAAAGTGGCACTAATAAACTTTCAATGTACACTGTCAGCAAAAAAGAGGTAGAGTCTCAACAGCTTGGACGACACAAAGCAGCAGCAAGAGACAGGCTCGGTCACAGCCATGCCGGAGGGGACGGCACAAGATCAGGCAGAGCTTTGCTGTACAGAGTTGATATCAATCAGAACTGACTCAGTCCCTCCCAACTACAGTTTTTTTGAAAAGGTGTACTCTTTATCAGTACTGCTGTTATCTGTCAATGAGTCAGAATTGACTCATACTGACTTTCCAGCAGGTTTCTAGAGGCTGTAACTCACCTAGGACGAGACTGCCCATCTTTCTCCCACAGGGCAGCTGATGGCTTCAAATCACCAGCCTTTGGGTTGGCAGTGCAACTCCTTTTACCACTAAGCCACGACAGGTCCCTTTATCCCTAATAACATGATTTAAAGGATGAATGTGCTGACTTAAAGATAAGGCTAATTCCTACGCTCATGTGAAACTTTGATCAACTCTGCAGATGAGAAATTGTAAGTATGCTGACAGAAGTCATTACATTAGTACATTTGATAACTATAGTTACTAAAACTAAATATAACCCTTAATTTTACCCTGTTTTCCATTATTCATTTCAAAGTGCTTTCTCTTGTTCTTTCTTCTCCTTTAACTTTTGCTAGTTCTAAAAATACTTTCAAACATAAAGATATTACTTTAAAGACAAAAAGAAAATGCCAGTGAAAGAAGAATAATAAGCTGTTTAAAGAATAATGTTTCTTTGCTCAGACTTTGCCTAGTGTTATTCTACTACACCACAAAGCCTCCTTTTCTCAAACTCAGAGGATAGAACTACTACATAGAAGAGCTATGTAGTACTAAAAGACACTTTAAGTACACTTGTGTGTGTGTATGCTCTGGTGGCCAAGTGGCAAAAAGCTGAGCTGAAATCCCAAAGGCACACAGTTCGAGGCCACCAGATGCTCCATGGGAGAAAGATGGGCAATTAACTGCCTCTGAAAGTCTGCCAGAGGGTCAGCTATGAGTCGGTCACTCTGCTTCAAGATTTAGCAGTTCATGGACCCTTGTCTCATCTCTGAATCCACCTCTTTCCTCACCCTCTCAATACAAAAAGACAGTAGACTTGCTGCTGGCAAGTAGACCCCATGTATTACACAATAAAACTGCCCCACAGGGTTTTCTTGGCCGTAGTATGTCCAGAAGTGAAGCTTCTGCTCTTTCTTCCACAGTGCCAATTGTGGGTATGAAGAACCAGGCTTCTGATTAGTAGCAAAATACAACCCATTGTTTCATCCAGAGACCATTCCTCACCCCCGGCCCCATATTATTTTGAAGCCAAATCCCCAATTTCACTGAATTCCATTTGTAAATACTGAAATGCTTTTAACAAAACTAAATTACTAAATTACTATACTCAACAGCACCTAACAACAAATTATTATAAGAGAAACTCTACCTCAAAGTTCTTTCTCAGAGTGTGTATTAATCTTACCTTTGCCTCATTAGTGGAATATTGATGCAATTAGCAGCAGCTACAGCAGCGAAAGGGACAAAGCGTCCTATCAGCGGTGAGACGTGCTGTAGAAAAGACAAGTAAAAAATATTATCTTACTTCTCCTATATTTTGAAGTTGAAAAACTTACTTTAGAAAAACCCAAAACTGTTAGGACTTTGTTTGTGTACCATATTATTGTAGATAAATAATAATAATATGTTGTTGTTATATACCATTGAGTTTGGAAGCCAACTCACAGCTGAGCCTCCAGTGGGTTTTCAAAGGCGGTAAGCCACATGGGAGGGACTGTCCTTCTTTCACCTGCAGAGCAGCCGCGCATTCAAACCATGTGCCTTCGTGTTGGCAGCACAGCTCCTACCACTAGGCCACCAGAGCTCCCTAATAATAATATATAACATAGTAATAATACAATAATGAGCAATCTGGTAATAATATATTGTTGTTGCTTGCTCTCGAGTCTAGCATGACTCACAGTGACTCCATAAATAAAAGGAATGAAGCCCTTCCACAACCATCACCATTTATCAAAGTTCACCGAGTTTCCAGAGGAATGCTGTTTAGAAAGTGGATGCCACTCCTGCTTCCAAAAATAATATATTACCATATGTTATGAGGTGGATTGATTCAGTGACTAGGGTATCGGGATGGGAGTGTCAGAGACAGTGCGACTGGCACAGGACAGAGCACAGTTTAGGGCTGTTGTACATAGGGTCGCTATGAGTCGCAAGCGACTCAACGGCACATAACAACAACAATAGTAATAACCATAATGCTGTGGTAGCTTGTTTATTGCTATAATATTAGAAACTATGCCAAAGGTATTTCAAATTCCAGCAAGACATTTTTATAGCTTAGTATTCCTGAAGGACTGTGGACTTACAGCCCTAAGCCCGGATGCTGGCTCTCCTGTCTCTTCAGAAGCATGATCATAAACTTAGATGGGCTCTTAGGATGAATGAGCATCTAACACTTAATACATAGTATCGGGCAAAGACCACGGGTTTGGTCAATGTTACTGGCCACAAACATTCCCAAGGTTCCTAGTAAACGCCAAGCAAGTCAGTTCTTATTCACAGTAAACCCTCATTGGGTTTCCTAGGCTGCCATCTTTCACCTACTGAGTAACTGCTGGATTTGAACTGCCAACCTTTCGGTGAGCAGTTTGATGTGTTATGCACAATGCTATCAGGACACCTTTTCTCAAGCTTAGTAGAAGACAGAATCCAAAATATGCCACCCAAACCATCATGTATATTATAACCAGTTATCATCAAGTTGACTCAAACTCATGGCCACCTGGCATATGTCTGAGTGGAACTGTGCTTCTTAAGAGTTTTTCATGGCTGATTCTGCAAGCAGATCACTAGGTCTCTCTTCTGAGGCACCAAAGGTGGGCTTTAATCTTTAATTTTGTTTAGCAACCAAATACCTTAGCCGTTTGCACTACTCATCGACTCCTTAACTATAACTTGAACTGTTTTATAAATAATAGAGGAAGTTAGGACCAGGGAGGCAAAAACAAAATAGTAAGTTCTACTACAGAGAGTACAGAAAATAAGTATCAGCATACCTTTGTTAATGCATTAAGTCCCAGAGCTGTTGCTACAGCACCAGTTGTTGCAGAAACATAAGCTGTTCCTAATTCACTGGAAAGAAAATGAATACTGCATCAACAAGACTTGTAAGTGAGGGAACTCTTGCATAGTATTTCTTGAAGACAGAAGAGGGAGGATATGAAGGATCATGAATAAGATTGGAGAGTCTACAAAACCACACTCATTATCACTCAACATGTAGAGAAAGCTAGGAAAAGTGAATGGATCCTTAACAATTATGATTCTTCACACATAACCTTGTTACAACCAACCAGATTACTGAATATCTCCACAAGGAGTAGAGATGGAGGGGGGCTGTGACTGTGCAGGAACCTACAAGAATATGTCCACGGGACTAAAAAGTACAGTTGTTATTGTTGTTACGTGCCATCGAGTCGTTTGCAACTCACAGCAATCCTATATACATTACCTTTGCTTAAATAAAAAATAATTATCAAAATATTAATATGCATAGTGAAAATAAAAGTGCAATAACACCAATTTTAAAAAATCTTACTGTATAAAATGTTAGATAAATCTCATCTTCAAAATACAAGTAAGCAAATGCAATTATCTTTCTTAAAAAAATAAAAATGTAAGAACTGGAGGAGATGGAGAGCTGATAAATACTACTAGAGGCAGATTCAATACCCCGAGTGCCAACTGATGGTACAAGAAGGACAAGGGCTGTCCAAAGCAATTTTAAGTGAGAAAATAAACAAAATATTTTCTTCTTTCAAGTATCACTCAATTAATGCTCAAATTTTTATTTCATTAACCTCCTTAGTGTAAGGGCTTTATGAGTGTTGTTTTGGGATTTGTTGTTTGTTTGTTTTTTTTTAAATAGAAGGTAAATTTTTAAAACAGTTCTACTTTTTCACTATTTCACAGTAACAAAAAGGCACAAGCAATTTAAGTATTCATTAGTGGAGGAATGGATAAATAAAATGTGGTCTGTAAATACAATAAAATAATACTCAGGTAAAAACAAAAAATAAGTTTTCAAAACATTCCGGAAATAAATGAACCTGATGGATATTATTATTGTTGTTAGGTGCCATTGAGTTGGGTACGACCCATAGCAACCCTATGAACAACAAATGTGAACCCCGCCTTAGACTGTGCCATCCTCACACTTCCTGACACATTAGAGCTCACTGAAGCAGTCACCATGTCAATCCACTTGATTGAGGGTCTTTCCCTTTTTCACTGACCCTCTACATTTCTGAGCATCATGTCCCTCTGCAAGGAATAGCTTCTCATAGACTATCAGAAGAGACTCTGAATATTGTACTACAACACTGAGAAGTCAAAAGCAAAGAGGAAAAAGTAGAAAAGTTAAGGAGCTGAACAGAAGATTTAAAAAAGCATGGGAAGACAAAGCAAGGTATTATAATGAAATGTGCAAGGAACTGGAGTCCCTCAGGAATTCTTAAGCTGAAGGAACTGAAGAACAAATTCAAGCCTTTAAGGTACAATACTTAGACGCTGAAGGCAGAATGCTGACTGACCCAGGAAGCATCAAAAGAGGCTGGAAAGAGTACAGAGTCACTATACCAAAAACAATTGGCCAACACAGAAGAATTTCATGAAACAACATAAGATCAAGAGCCTATGGTGATGAAGGAGGAAGTTCAAGCTGTACTGAAGATATTGTAAAAAAAACAAGGCTCCAAGAATTGATAGAATATCAATTGACATATTTCAGATGCTGCTTTGGACAGTCACCAAATTATGCCAAGAAATCTGGAAGATGACTACTGGGAAAACTGAACGGAAGAGATCTGCATTTATTCCCATTCCAACATGACCCAACAGAATGTGGAAATTATCGAACGATTCAAGCAAGACCCTGCTGAAGGTTATCCAGAAATGACAGTACATCAGCAGAGAACTGCTAGATGTGCAGGCTGGGTTTAGAAGAGGACATGGCATTAGAGACATCAAAGCCAATGTCAGATGATCTTTGCTGAAAGCAGAGAGTATTAGAGGAATGTCCATCTGTGTTTCATTGACTATGAACAGGCATTTGACTGTGTGTATTGAACAGCAAACTGTGACTAACCTTGAGAAGAATGGGGATTACAGAACACTTAAATGTGCTCATGTGAAACCTATACTTGGACCAGGAAGCAGTAGTCAGAACAGAGCAGGGGAAACACTGCATGGTTCAAGATCAGAAAAAGTGAGCATCAGGGATACATCCCATCTCCATACCTCTTCAATCCATATGCAGAACAGATCATTCGGGAGGCTGGACTTTATTAGGAGGAAAGTGGTATCCTGATTGGAGGAAGACTCATCAACAACCTGAGTTATGCAAATAACACAACCTTGCTTGTCAAAACTGAAGAGAACATGAGGTGTTTGCTGCAGAAAGTCATGGACTGTAGTCTTCAATACGGATTGAAGCTCAGCATCAAGAAAACAAAGATTTTCACTACTGGGCCAATTATTAGCAGCTTCATGATGGGCAGAGAAGAGAATGAGATTGTTGATAACTTCAGCTTGCTTGGTTCCACAATCAACTCTTAGCACCAGCAGTCAGGAAATCAAGACAAATTGCCTTAGAAAGGTCTGCTGTCAGAATGTCAGTCTAGAGACTAAGGTGTGCCTGATCCAGGCTATGGCCTTTGCAACTATTTGCTATGCACTAAGAGCTAGACATTAACTAAGGATGATAGAAAAGGGATCGATAGCTTTGAGCTGTGGTGCTGGAGAAGAGTGTTGAACATACCATGGACAGGCTGCCAAAAGAACAAACAAGTTTGTCCTGGAGAGGGTGAAACCAGGCTGCTCCCTATAGGCAAGGATTTTGAGGTTCCATCTCCATAGTTTGGGCACATGGCCAGGAGGGGCCAGTCCTTGGAGAGAAACATCATGCTTAGGAGGGTAGAGTATCAGCACAGGAGAGGAAGACATGAGAAGGATTGCCTTAGTGACTGGAGAATGAGATTAGGCCTGTCAGAGATGATGAGCTTGGCTCAGGATAGGGCGACTCGATGGCACATAACAACCACAGCACCTTGCCTGAAGTGTGTGAGGCAAAGCTTTATTATCTTTGCCTCCAAAAACCACTCTGACTTCACTGTCTCCAAGACATTTATTTGTTTGTTCTTTCGGCTGTCTATGGAATATTTGGTGGTCTTCTCCAACCCCACAGCTCAAAGGCACAAATTCTTCTTAGGGTTTATATAGAACCACTAAATGGTTCTTCTAGATGGACATTATGTTGAGCAAAACACGTTCAATTGTTTACAAAAAATCAAATACTGTATGTTCTCACTTTTATGAAATGACATTAACAATACATGGAAATCAATGTTATTAGTGATTACTAGGAATGCAGGATGAGGTGGGAGAGGAAAAAGTCACTTGCCAGTTAGTAGATATTTGCTATTCTCAGTTATTAGAAAGTTGCTAGGCGTGGCTATTCCTTGGAGAGGGACATGATGCTAGGAAAGGTGGAGGTCAAAGGAAGAGAGCAAGACTCTCAATTAAATGTATCGACCAGTGACTGCAGCAAAGGGTCCCAAGGTGTCAGAGATGTGGAGAAGGCACAGGATAGGACAGGGTTCAGGTCTGTGGTTCATAGGGTCACTATGAGTAATACTCTACCTAATGACAAGGACGAAATGTATACAGCTTGATGACGTTAATGGATGTCACCAGAAAGCACACAAGGAAAAAAAGACTTGTTAGTAATTGCTATGGCATATAAAATATTGAAGCAATACTAAAAATAACAAAAAGTATGCATGTGGTTATATGCATGTAAGTATATTTGTGTATAGGTATCTATGTGTGTGTGTACATATAAATATGAGCATATGTATCTATGCATACATTGGCTTATATGTATACAATATCCACGTATGTAAACATATGCATATATGTGTACATATGTATGCATCCATGACTATGCAAATATACTCATAAACATAACAAAGCACATGGGAGCACAGCTACAAATACATCTTAGATAAATTTTTACACCTCAAGAGATGAGACTTCTGGGCTTAAAAGATTAAGAAACACAGTCTCAAAGGAAATCTTAGTCAAATGGCACAATACAGTTCATAAAGTCACTTTCTACATGCTAGTTTGGCAAGTGATGTCTGGGGGTTTTAAAAGCCTGTGAGTAGCCACATAAGGTATATCTATTGGTCTCTAATCATACAGAGTAAAAGAAAAAGAAGGAAACTAAAGACCCCAAGAAGAAACTAGTCTACAGGACCAATAATCCACATGAAGCGTCAGGGCCTCTAACCTGAGCTCTAAAGGACTTACATGGTGCCCAGCTACCACCACTGACCGTTTTAATCAGAGTCACAATAGATAGACTCGGGAAGAATGGGAGGAAAACAGGACCTCAAATGTCTAAAATAACAACAAAAACAACAACAACCCTAAAACCAAAAATAGGCCTACTTGATTTTGTCTGGAGGATTTTCAGAAAGAATTGCCCTCAGACACCTTGAAGCTAAATAAAAAATTGGGTCAAAAAGGATGACTATCACAAGCACTGTGGTAAAAAGCTTGGGAAACTAGATTAATGGACAGGAACAACCCAAACAGGAATAATGAGAGTTTGTGTGCACTGTAAAGAAGCTAGCCAAGGTCACGGAACAACCTGCGTAGAAATTGTTGAATGGAAACTTCAACTGCTGCACACACCTTCACAGGGGACATAATAGAATACTAGTGTAAACCAAACCAAGCCAAGCGAAACCAAACCACTTGTGCTTGCTTTCTGGCTCTACAGATGATCTATTACAGAAACAAAATTAGAAGTCGCATTGCCATGAGCCCCTCCTGATTTCTGCAGACCCCATACTGTGATGACCCAGCTACTTTTAAATTATTTGTAAAAAAATGCTGGGTCAAATGGTATCTCTATTTGCAACTTTTTGAGAAAGCACCACACCATTTTCCACAGTGTTTGCACCATTTTACACTTCCACCAACAGTGAATAAGGGTTCCAGTTTCTCCACAACCTTACTAGCATTTATTGTTTGCTGTTCTGTTAAATTTTGCTATACTTACTGGGATGAGATGATATCTCATAGTTGTTTTGATTTGCATCTCTCTTAGAGCTAGGGATTTTGAACATTTCTTCATGTGCTTGTTGGCCATCTGAATGTCTTCTTTGGTGAAGTGTCTGTTCATATCCTGTGCCCATTTTTCAACTGGATTATTTACCTTTATCTTGTTGTGGTGCTCAAGTATTTTATAAATTCTAGATATAAGTCCCTTATCTGACATGTCATTACCAAATACTTTTCCCCAGTCTGTGGCTTCCCTTTTTACCCTGTTGGAGAAGTTTTTGGATGTGCATAGGGATTTGAGTCTTAGAAGGTCCCATTCATCTATTTTATCTTCTTCTGACTGTAGATTTTCAGGACACTTGGAAGACTGTTTATGTTGTGATTAGGACTACTAAAGTTCTCAAAACATTGCCAATTAAAAAAAATTCACATGAACAACATAGTGACATCAGTTACATAAATCATATTGTACCCAAATATTTGTGGTAAAATTTTCCATTATCACAAACAGAAGCTCACTCTATGCTTTCTGATTAACTTCCCCTTTCTTCTTCCCTCTCCCCTGTTAACCTCTAATAGATTCTGGTTGACCCATTTCCTTTTGATTTTGGTGGCTATTACATGCTATTGGATGGCTATTGGAGGGATGGCTTGTTATTTCCCTCAACTCAGGTAAGAGGCTATCCTTGAGTTGCCTCCACATGGTATGTGAGCTCAAGCATGCAAGAGACATGTCAACCTACTGACACTATTTCAACAGAGTAATGCTTGTCGTGAACACAAAAACCTTAAACATAAAATCCAATTTTGACTCCTGGTGACCCCATATGTGTGAAGCAGAATCAGGCACCAGAGGTTTTCAAGGGCTGCGTTTTATGGAAGTAGATCACCAGGCTTTTCTTCCATGGTACCAATGTGTATGTTCAAACCACATAGGACACATCATTTGTACCATCCTGGGCCCTAACAAAATGCACTGACAGAGTGACTACAACAACAGGTACAAGCATGGCAGACACTGTGAGATCGATATAGGACAGGACAAGGTTGCAATCTGCCTCTCATAGTGTTACTAACAGTTGGAATTGACTTAACAGCAGCTAACCTCAGAGACCTACTGTTTGGTGAAGCAGGCTGAATGAAAAGTTATCTTAATAGAAAGAAACATACTTTCTTTTAAAATATGCCCATATTCTAAATAATAGAAATGATTTACCTAAATATACTTCTTTTTTTGTTTTAAATTTTTATATTAGTTTGCTTGTTGTTGTTGTTGACTGCTTTTGCATCAAGCATGACTCATAGCGACCCTCTGAACAAAAGGCCTGAAGCCCCTCTACAACTACAGACATTTATCAAAGTTCATAGAGCTTCCAGAGGCATGTTATTAAGCCACTCCTGCTTATCAGTTTGAATACACTGTGTTTCACACTATTCTTCATATTGTGTTGCATTCAATCACTCCCATTCATTATTTAATATGCTTTTTAAGCAGAATATGTCACTATCTGATCTCATAAAAGGCAGTGTTGAAGGAGAGTGTTGAGCTGTACAGCCTTACTTCACAGTGAGTGGGGCGTCTCCGCTTCTGTTGGTGTAGTTCACCACCGCGTTGAAGGACTGGTTAACCCACTGCCAGAAGAGCACCGCTGGTGTAGACCTGAAATAGAATCACCGTCCTCCATTATCATCATTTATTACCATGCGTGCCCATCAGTGACCAGAGAAGGGCTTCCAGAGAGGGGCAAAGGCTAAGTGGGAGACTATTCTGGTTCCCAGTGGAGGATATGTGCAACTCAACAGACAGCTAGCTATCCTCTGAGCCTCAGTTTCCTCACTCAGTAGGCAGACTGTGAGGATCAAAAGAGATGAACTTTATAGATGGCCTAACAGAGAATTAAAAATCAAATCGTACTGTCAAAGTGACACCAACTCAAGGCAACTGAGTGTTAAGAGTGGATCTGCTTCATCAGGTTGGCGACCTTTTCACTGAAAATAGTTTGCCAGTCCTTTCTTTTGAGATGCCTCTGGAGAGGTCTGAACCACTAACCTGGAGGTTAGTAGTCAAGCACTTAACCATCTGTGCTTTAAAGGAGCAAAGAAGGCACTCAGTAAATGCCAGATGCCTGTCTTGAGAGGAAGAATGGATGCTATTTGGAGTCTAAGCCATCTTCCCAACTCTGTGAGCAACTGTCTCTGTCTATTTGGTTACAAAAGAATGTACTTAATGGCTTTTTCTTTCTCCATTTCATTTTTCTTTTGAGTCTATGAGTTAGGAAAAACTTTAACCTCATTTTGAGTAATTAAAAAAAACACAAACAAACAACAACCCTCAACCCAACAAACAGCTGCCACCCAGGCAATCTGACCTATGTGTGTGTGTGTGTGTGTGTGTGTGTGTATTGGAGTAGAACTGTACTCTATAGTTTTTAATGGCCGATTTTTCCAGTGCAAGACGCCAGGTTTTTCCTCTGAGGTGTCACTGGGTGGACATAAGCCAGTGACTTGCTCATTAATAACTGAGCTCATTAATTATCCACACCCTCCAGAGACTCTTTGAGTCACAGAGAGGATAAAGAGAAGGGACAAAAAGGTTGCCACCTTCACACAAAATGAAAACTATAAATGAAGTGACATTTTATTTCATTATGACTTACAAATGTAAAATGCACTTTAGTCCTTTGCAATATGAAAAGTACATAACTCACCTATAAAATGTCATCATACAGCCGGTGATGGTCATGTTCATTGGAACCTGAGCTGACATTCTTCCTATCAAGATCATCTTCTCACCAGTGTCAGGATGAAAAGCTGAATCATAGACGTACTTTGCTCTCCATAATTCATTTTCTGTAAGACCTGAAGGCACAACTCCTTGTCTAGGGAAGACAATGACAAATACCATGGCAGCTTCCTTTCAAATATCTTGCAGAGTCCTAGAGACAAGCAGCTACCAATTTTTAACCTGAATTCATACAGCCATGGAGTACGGCTGTATGCCAACTCACAGTGACTCTAGAGGACAGAACTCTGGTTTCCAAGGCCATAAATCTTTAATGGAAGCAGAGAGCCTTATCTCTCTTACAGAGTAGCTGGTGGTTTTGAATGGCCAACTCTACAGCTCAAAGCTTAACTCAGTGTACCACCAGGGCTCCTTGTTGTTGTTTTTGAATGTGCTGTCAAGTCACCTGCCCGCTCACTGCAACTCTAGGCACAATAGCTCTGAACCCTGCTCTATCCAGAGCCAGTCTCACTGTCTCTGACACACTTAGCCCCACTGCCTCAGTTACTGTATCAATCCATTTCATCCAGGGTCTTCCTCTCCTGTGCTGTCCCTCCACCCTTCCAAGCATAATGTACTTTTCCAAGGACTAGTTCTTCCTGGCAACAGGCTCAAAGTATGTGAGACAGAGCTTCAAAATCTTTCACTTCTGAAGTAATAGGCCTTCAAAAACCCTATGCACCAGAGCTCCTTAACCTCTACAACTGTGCCTGAATGAAATAACACAAATCTAACTACTACAAGCAGTGAAATCTTAACAAAGGATGATAAACATTTAAAATGAACATTTCAAGCCTATCTCGAATTACCTGTAATTTGGAAGAACACATAGCATAATAGAGAAGTCTTTAACGTTAAAACAGTCTTTGCTTTAAATGATGTATTTTCAACTGTATTTCGAACTTTTCTTTCTTTCATTGTTATTAAGTAGGAAGTGAAACATGGTTGACCCTCCAGCGAGTTTTCAGAGGCTGTAAACCATGCAGGAGATTTTCTGTCTCCCACAGCCCAGCTGGTGAATCCAAACCAACCACTAGGGTGGCGCCACCTGCAGGTTAGCAGCACAGGCCCCTAAGTACTGAGCCACCGGTATGCCATTTGAACTTGGTGAACAACAACAAAAATTAAAAAAAAAATTAAAAAATCTTCAATCAGTTAAACAAAATTCATGGCATTCACGAATATCAATTCCTTTGTACAACCAGCCATTTAAAAGCCTAGAATAGACTCTTCAGTTAAAAAAAAAGTTCAATATTCATTATTTATTCTCCTTATTAAAAACACATTTTCCATTGCTAGAAACATGAAAAATTTAATTGCTCTAATGTAGAAACACATTAAACCACTGAAATCTAATCCCTACTGTCAATGTTCTGGTGAGCACACTTTCAGCCTCTCTTTCATGTTCTTTATGCCATATGCTTATTTACAAGTGTCATACCTTCCTGCTACTAAGTATCCACTTTTTAAACACAATGATACATTCAGAACACACCTCTTTGTAATTCTTTTTCCACACCATCTTCTAAATTCGCTATAGCATTCCACCATATATCATAAAATGTCATACCAATGTTCCATTGCTAGATATCTTAGTCACTTATATATTTTTCATGTACATGAAATATTTTTGTGATTAAATTTTTACCCACATCCAAGATTTTTAGAAAGCAATGAGTTGATTTGATGAGATAAATGTGGTACAAAATATTTAGAGTTTAGTTACATGTTTTGATCAATTTTTCTATTTGAGTATCTTTTTTTTATAATCCTTTATAGTATCATCTTCATGACTATTTATTATTATTATTTATGTCAATTATCTATTTGTGCTGGTGTCAATACCCACTATCTTAATCTGACAGTCTTTTTGATACTTGATAGAACATTTTTCCTCACTCCATTATTCTTCCTTTCCAATAAAATGCCTTACTCAATTTATTTTTTCACGTAAACCTTAGAATCATTTTGTCAGTTTTACAGGCAATCACAATTGTATTTTGACTGAAAATGTCTTCTTCTGGAGAGAAATGATACCTCTATAATATGAAGTCTTTCAATAGCTCCTCAGATGTGAGAATGGTATAAGCTCGTTTCACATCCTTGGGGTCTGTTATCAGGAGGTGCTAGTCTCTGGGGAAAGACACTATGCTTGGTGGTAAAGCAGTTATTATTTCAGGTACCATCAAGTTGATTATGACGCATTGCAATCTTCATCATGTTCACGGTGACTTTCGAAGTCACTGTGCCAGTCCATCTCATCGTGAGTCTTCCTCTCTTTTGCTCAACCCTTCCCAGCATGATGCCTTGGGGTCAGTTCTTGAAAACTGACATTGTTGCCTTGATAAAGGAGACGGCCAGTGAAAAAGAGGAAGACCTCAAGGAAATGGAATGATACAGTGATTGCAACAGTGGGCCCAGGCAGCAGCAGGGGCTGTGAGGGCGGGGCAGGACCAGGCAGTTCCTGTAGAGTCTCAGCAGATTTAACAGCACCTAAGTCCAGGGCACACTCAGCTCTCCTCACTCAAATGCTTTATATTTATGACCCTAGGGGGCTTACCATAGCTCTGCACTTCTGGATGAGTTTATTCCAAGATATTTAACATTTTTTTATTGTTTTTTTGAACCCAGTTTAAAATTACCACCATACAGAGTTGTGCTAAGCCAAAGGCTGCATCGTTCTGGCCGTGTGATTCCACCTGAGGCTCCAAGGGGACAAAGACGGGCAATCTCCTCCTTTGCGATTGGTCTTGGAAACCTTCTAGAGGGCCAGGCATACATAGGTTCTGACTTAACAGCAAGAAGTTTGAGTGTTTTACTTTAACTGATTTTTGGAGCCCTAGTGGTGCAGTGCATGATGCCACAGGGTTGCCAGGAGTCAGTATTAACTTGATAGTAATGAACAACTGAGTATTGCTGACTGATAGGAGAGAGTGGATTTTTCTTATTGTTGGTATGTTACATCAAATTGACTGCAACCTTGTGAACTGTAGATCTGAATCATGCTTCGTCCTGTGCCGTCCTTACCATTTCCTACACAGTTAAGCTTATTGCTATTGTCACTGCATCAATCCATCTTGTTGAGGGTCTTTCTCTCCTATGCTGATCCTCCACCTTTCTAGGCATGATGTCCTTCTCTGATGAGTGGCCTCTCCTAACAACATGCTGTAAGTATGTAAGGTGGAGTTTAACTATTATTGCCTCTAAGAAGCACCTTGGTTTCACTTTCTCCAGAACCTTCCTGTTTGTTCTTTTGGCAGTCCATAGGATATTCAAGAAACTTCTCCAACACCACAACTCAAAGGCATCGATTCTTTGGTCATCCTTAGTCATTGTCTAACTTTCAGACACATAGCAAGAATTGAGAAGACTATGGCTTTGGTCAGAGGACTACCTCTTAGTCTTTAAATAAACTGATCATTGTTGTTGATGTTATGTGCTGTGGAGTCACCTGCGACTCATAGTGACCCTATGTACAACAGCCCTAAACCTTGCCCTATCCTGTACCAATCTTATTGTCTCTGACATACCTATCCCCATTTCCCCAGGTACTGAATCAACCCACCTCATTAAGGGTCTTCCTCTCCTGTGCTGTCCCTCCACCCTCTCAAGTATGATGTCCCTTTCCAAGGAATGATCCCATTTTCACTTCAATATTCTGTAGAGATCATTGATAGCAGATTTCCCCAAAGTGATATAGCTCTTAATTTCTTGACTGCTGGTACCAAAGGTTGATGGTGGATCCAAGCAAGATGAAACCGTTGACAACTTCAATCTCTTCTCTATTCATCATGATGTTGTCTACTGGCCCAGTGGTAAGGATTTTTGTTTTCTTGATATTGAGATGTAATCCATAGTCAAGAATGAAGGTCTTGATCTTCTGCAGCAAGTATTTCAAGTCCTCTTCACTTTCAGCAAGCAAGGTTGTGTCATCTGCATAACACAAGTTGCTGATGACTTTTCTTACAATCCTGATGACACATTCTTCTTCATAAAGACTGGCTTTTCAAATAATTTGTTCAGTATACAGATTAAATAGATATGGAGAAAGGATACAGCCCTGATGCAAACCTGTCTTGATTTGAAAGGATACAGGCCTGATGCAGACCTTTCTTGATTTTTAAATCATGCAGTGTTTTCTTCCTTTTTTCAATAGCATCTTGGTCTAGGTTGCGTATGAGCACAATGAAGATTTCTGGGATTCTCATTCTTCTCAATGTTAGCCACAATTTGCTATCCACAAGGTCAAATGACAATCATATAATATACCGTGAAAGTAATAAAAAAATGACAAAGAATGGTGTTGTAGTCATTTCAAGACCATTTCAAGGTCCATCCTGATAACAGTCTCTTAATAGTTCTGTTTTTTTGCCGTTAATTGTTGAGAACGCAATCATTTGCAAATAATAAACATACTGTCTCATCTTTTCAATATCTACTTGTGTTTCTCTGCCTTACAGAATTGGTCAGGGCTTCTAGAACAATGCTACATAATAGCAAAGGCATCTCTGACTTGCTTCTTCTTTAATGAGAATGACTCAGAATGCAACAGCTTACATAGATGTTAACAGATAGTTATGAGGATAAAGAAAAGACCCAAGTTCAAGTTTTAGAAAATGAAGTAAGGTGGTGAGTTCTCTTTAATTTGTAGCAAAGTCTTTCCTCATCCAAGGAAACAAGGATAATTTCTGTTACATATGTTACATTTCTTCTTTTCCAATTTCTCCGTTAGTAGTACTGATCAATTGTATCTTCACTATCCATTCTTTCTTCCCCTTATGCAGTCTTTTTCATATCAATCTCCTTTTCATTTTTATCAGAGGTTAACAAACTACATTCCACAGTCCATTTCTAAATAGTCTATGAACTATGGGTGGACTGAACCCTGTAAAGGATGATAAAACAAGCTGGAGTACCTGGGCAGGACAACAGTTTATGAAGTGAGCTGTTAATGAAAAGGCTCAAGTCCACCCAGAGGCAACTCAGAAGAAAGGCCTAGCAGTCTATTCTTAAGAATCAGCCACTAAAATTCTTATAAAGCTCAGTTCTCTGACACATCTGTCTCCATCAGCCCTGACTTGAAGACAATGTATAGGAGGGAACAAGCACAGAGTATGCGATAATGACTGTCTCACAAAGCACAAAATATTTTTTGAAAGACTGTATAAAACAATGTATATGAATGAAACATACTATAAAGATATTATTATATGAAAATCAATAAAAAATATTAAATTAAAGAAAAGGTTCCTCTGGCTCTTCACAGAAAAAAAGGAGCCTTGACAGTGCAATGGTTGAGCACTTAGCTGTTGACAGAAAAGGCCAGCGCTTTGAACATAACTGGTGATCTGGAAATCAGTTCCCACAGAGTATAGCATGGGAAACCCTATGAGCCAAGATTCTTATCAGATACAGTTGCCGAGTCAGCATAAAGAGCTCTGTTGGCCTAGTGGGTAAGAAGTTGCACTACCAACCCAACAGCACATGGTTCAAATCTAGCAACTTCTCTGTGGGAGAAAGATAGGCAATCTCTTCCCATGTGATTTATAGCCTCTGAACACTAAGAGAGGGTCAGCTATGAATTGGTCCCAACTTTGTGGTGCCCAACATGAGTTTTTGCCAGCCTCTGAACAACATCCTTGTGGGACATGTCAGGCCTCTTCTATGCCTCTCTGCCTCTGCTTTTGCACGGTGCCGTGTCTGCTCTGGAATTCCACACTCATCTCCAATGAAGAATTACATTTTTGCTCTTAAACTTTTAGGTTCTTTGAAATTCTTCTATGTCATCCTTTTTCAGCAATTCATCTAGCTGCCTTTTCATATCAACCTCTCTCTTTTTTTAATGGCTCTTTGTTCCAGATGCACAAAGAACATCCTTCATTTATTTTCCGTAATTCTTGAAATGTGCTCTGACGGAGTCTTCATTCTTTTTCCTTGTTAGTCAGCACTTTTTCATAGGGCTGCTTGCTGTTTTGTTTTCTGTGCATTCATTCTCTCTTTGTTCACATCAGCATATGGTAACATCTGGCCTGATTTGGTGATTGGCAATAATGTTTCTATCTTGTCCTTGGTTCCCTCTCTAGCTACCTAAGTACGGGGTGTTGAGTATCTTTCTAAAGGGTACATTTAGGTGTATAAATACCAGTTCTGACTCAAGATAACACTGTGTGTGACTGAGTAGAAACTGCCCCATGGGATTTTCCTGGCTGCAGTGTTCAGCAGAGATCATTCAGCCTTTCTTCCATGGCACCACGGGGTGGCCTTGAACCATCAAACTTTCAATTAGCAGTCAAGTGCAAAATGTCTGCAACACTCAGTGCTCCATCAGTCGGATTCCTACTTTCTAGTTGACTTTCTCCTACAGCAGGAATTATCAAAGTACATATGATCTGCTCCCTACCAGTGTTACATGTTTTTTAGAAGGGTTGTAAAATAAAACCTACTCCCTTATGCTAGTTTGCTGGGAGCTTGCATACTGCAGTGATACTGGAAGTTACACCACTGGAATTTCAAATATCAACAGGGTCACCCATGGTGGGCAGTTTCAGTGGTGTTTATAGAATATGGTAGACTAAGAAGAAAGGTCACAACAATGGACCACTCAACACTTGTGAAGATGGGACTGCCGTGCACAAGACCATCGTAATGGGAACCAACAACAAAAGTTAAGAAGAATATGCCTCTTATGACCCACAAAGTCTGAAATACTTATTAAATGGACCTTTACAGAAAAATTGAAATTGTCTGGAGTATCAACATAGGCCACATCTTGTTTTACCTCATCATACCAGCTCTCTGATGGAATGGACACTCTCTGAAGGCACAGCCATCAGCATCCTTCCATCAGAACTTCTTTCTGCAGAACCTTATTCAACGGACCTATTTACCACGGTTGGGAGCTCAGGTGGTGTAGTCTGTAAGGAGCTGGGCCACTAACCCAAAGCCTATACCTCTCTGGCAGTTCAAAGCCACCAGTGGCTCCACGGGAGAAACATAAACAATCTCCTCCGGTGCAATTTACAGCCAGTGGAGGGTCAGCTATGTCTTGATGGCAATGAGATAGAGGAGAAGAGATAAGAAGTAACCAGTCATCCCTAATTCTTGCCAATCTCTCCCTCTACTCTAACCACAACCCCCCACCCCCGACACTATAGCTGAATATAGAAGGATGCACAACATGGTTGTTACTGGGAAGAGTCAGGGGGCTATATGAATGCCAGTATCACATACTGGCACCTCTTGATTGGAGGGATGTTGCCCCATTTTCAAATGTATCAAATATACTGTGAACTAGTCAAAAGAAGAAATCAATCTTGGAAGAAATGCAGCCAGTGTGCTCCTTAGAAGCAAAGACAGTTAAGACTTTGTCCACCACAATTTCGGCATGCTATCAAAAGGGTATCAATGGAGAGAAGTAAATATATTTTTTTCTTGGGGGGTTCCCCCTTTCATAAAGGATTCCAAAGCGAAGAAATAAAAACTCGTAAAATCAGTATGTGAAGGTTTAAAAGCAATTAAGTTAATGATACTTCATCAATACATAAGCCAAAATAATGATGATGATGATGATGTTACCTGTAATCATGTATTATTTTCCTTGCATTCTCTAGTTGTTCGTTGCTTAAGAGGATATTCCTGGGATCTGTCACCGTGAAGAAATGATTGGCTCGTCCGACAAAAGTGCTTTGGTCCCATCGAGGTTCCTTAATATTGATGTTTGGTGGCAGTTCTCCTGACATCGTTCTAGACTACAGAGGATCAGTAAAGACAAGTTTACTTAAGAATCCATCACACATTACAGGCACAGGGACCTTCAAGTGAAGAGTTTTGTACTCTTCCAATTTATAGAAATAATTTTGCTGTTATAGGCAAAAATATTACCTAACTCCAAAGCTAACTTTGTCCCTAAGTGTCTATTAATCTGACCCATATTTCAGTCATTACCTAGATATTTCTAAATACCCAGTGTTCCATCATTTCTTACTCTTTAGAAACTTGGAAATATTCTAGAAAAAGAAAGATTAAATTTAAAGTTTAAAAACAATGTTATCAGTGACTGTGTATGAAGTTTAAAACTACTTTTCTGGATGAAACTGTGGCCAATAACTACAGTTCAAAATCACCATCATAGAACTTCTGTTATTCTTCCTTTCTCTCTCTTTTCAGATTTAAGCCATCTGGGTGGGAGGGAAATGGTATCTGACTGTAGTTTCAATGAACATCTCTCTGATGGCTCTGTGCTCTGTAGCCATTTAAGTGTCATTTTTGGTAAAATGTCTACTCACGTCTTTTGCCCCTCTTTGGGTTTCTTTTCTTTTTGTTGGTAAGTTATCCAACCTCCTGGTTTATTCTTACAAGCAATGAATTGTTACCTGCCACTGAGTCATAACCAACTCATAGCTGCCCCTCCTAGTGGGTTTTCAGAGACTATAAATTGCACAAGAGGAGACTGCTCATCTTTCTCCCAGAGAGCAGCTGATGGCCTTAAACTATGTGCCTTGGGACTGGCAGCACAACAGCTTATCACTAGGCCATCAGAGCTCCCTTACTCACTGCTGGGTACAATTTTCCCACATCCTCATCAACATTGGGAAATGGCTTCTGAATTCTGGTCCATTACTGTTTCTTTCTACTAGTAAAACCTGTTGTCATCAAGTTAAAATTGACTCATAGTGACCCTACAGGACAGAATGGAATTGCCCTATGGGGATTCAAAGGCTGTAATATTTGTGGAAACAAAGCACATCTCTCTCCTGAGAATATATCAGTGGGTTCGAACTGTTAATCTTTCAGTCAGCAGTCAGGCACTTGACAGCTGTGACATGTACTTCAACTTAAATTCGGAAACACTTGATTTGTAGGCTGAGATCTACAGTGGAGCCCTAGATACATTTTTATTTTTGACATTCATTCAGTTACCTTCAAATTTCTTCTTGACCATAAAATCCACGGTGTGGCTATGCTCAGCAAGTGCTAGGGACCCAAGGGAGGGCAGTTCACCTTTGGGATTTGTAGAAAGAACCAAGAAACTTGCCTGGGTGTGCCCTACATGATTTACTGAAAACAGCCCACAAGGTCAGGAATCATAGTTCCAAATGTCACACAACCTGTTTGTAGGAACCACATAACCAATACCATAAACTTTTAAAATCTGCAATTATATACACATTCTAATCATGGCCTTTGTCTATTTGTATAGTACTTCCTGTAATAGTGATGGATCATGACTGTTACCAGGTATGATCTGGTGGTGATTTTCTTTGTTTCTAAATTGTATAATATGGCTGTGTTTCAGTGGTACACCTTCAGTACTATGCTGATGGTATGTCTCATTGTAGAATGATTCACCTGTCTTGTCTTTTTCTGTCTTAGTTAAGGAGACTCTACAGAGGATGTTGAATCTCCACGACTCCTCCAACTAGTCTACTCAACTCAATGATACTGAATCTTACGGCTCCTAGAGACCCTCAGTTGGGAGGAGTCTGCAAGGAGTCACTGGTAGAAGAGCTGGGGATGCACAGCCCTTTGCATAGCAGAAAAACACGAGATAGATTGTACTACCAGCGTTCCTGCTAGTAAAAGTGACTAATTATGCAAAGAAACTTAAATGTTAAACATTGTTTGTTTAACATTTAACATTGTTGTTGTTCATTGTCATCAAATTGAGGAAAACTCATAACTCATAGCAACCCTATGAACAAAAAGCCTAAAGTCTTTCTATAACTATCATTGTTGCTCCTGGTTCATAGAGTTTCCAGAGGCATGTGGTTTAAGAAGAGGATGCCACTCCTGCTTCCAAACCTGTCTTAAAACTGGGAGCGCCACCAAACACTATCCACCATGGGTAACCATTATGGCATTTGACCCCCAATGGCACAAGGTTCAGCTTCACAGCAAACCCAGATTATTTTACTACAGTAAACTGTCAGAAAAGCACTGTATATCTTAGAAGAATGTTCTCCAAAATGAAATAACAATAGCAATAGGCCCTCAGGCCCAATCAACATTTACATACAAGGGCCATCACAAAGTTTCCAGAGGCATGTGGTTTAGGAAGTGGATGCCACTCCTGCTTCCAAACGTGAGTCAATCTGGGAGCTCCACCAAGCACTGCCCATGACTGGTAGTTAACTATAGTGTTTGACACACGTATGGTACAGTTGTTCATCACTGTAGCAACTCCAAGTTACTGCAGTAGGGCAAAATAGACAGACCACTGCTGTAGCACTTAAAAGAATGTTCATCCCAAAATCAATTAACATTTGGCCCAAGGGGCATGTTAAACATTATACAATGAAAAAGATTCAAATTCATTAACCTTGCTCTGAACACAAACTGTCAATCAAAAATTTAAAATTATGTTCTCTGACCTGAAAGGAACATAATAGAAAAACCACATCTGACAGCCCCATGAACCACACTCTCAGGAAGAGCATGTTGGTGTTGTTGTTGTTAGGTGCCTCTGAGTTGAGTACAACTCATAGCGATCCTGTGAACAAAATATCTGAACCCTATTCTATCCGGCACCATCCTGACTCTTCCTGACACACTAGAGTATATTGCAGCAGTCATCGAATCAATCCACCTGGTTAAGGGTCTTTCTCTCCTTCACGGACCCTCCACCCTTTCCAACATCATGTCCTTCTCTAAGGAACAGGACCTCTTAGCAAAATGTCCAAAGTATGTGAGATGAAGCCTCAGATGGAGGTCAAAGAAAGAGAAGACTGCCACCAAGATAAATGATACAGTGACTTCCACAATAGGTTTGAGCATAGGAGATTGTGAGGATGGCGCAAAGTTTAGATCTGCTTTCATCACTATAAGTCATAGGCAACTTGATGGCGCCTAAACCAACAAAGGCTTTACTATTTACTAGTGGTGAGATGTTGCACTAAAGGAACTTGATTTGAAACCACCAGCTGCTCCAAAGGAGAAAGATGAGCAGTCTCCTTCCATGCAATTTAGAGCCCACTGAAAACCCTCTGGAGGGTTAGCTATGACCACACATAATAACAAAGCTTTACTAGGGAACACTGATGGTGTAATCAGAAGTGAGTTGCTTCTTACCTAACCCAGAAGTGGCATATTGTTGTTGCTGATTGCCTTCAAATCGAGCACAACTCATAGCAACTCTATGAAAAAAAGGCCTGAAGTCCCTCTACAACTATCGACATTTATCAAAGTTCATCGAGTTTCCAATGTCATGTTATATAGGAAGTGGAAGCCACTCCTGCTTCCAATAGTGGCATAAAATTTCCATTTTCCATCTAAGAATCATCATTTTTCTTCCTAACAGAATTAATTTCTTTTACTAATAATACATCAAGGACTGCAGCCTACAATATGGATTGAGGCTCAATGTCAAGAAGACAAAGATTCTCACCACTGGACCAATTGGCAGCATCAGGATGGATGGTGAAGAGATTGAGATTGTACACAGCTTTAGCTTGCTTGGCTCCATAGTCAACAGTCTTGGCACCAGCAGCCAGGAAATTAAAAGGCACATTGCCATGGGAAAGTCTGCTGTTAGGGACCTCTCCAAAGTACTGAAGAGCAATGGTGTCTCTCTGGAGACTAAGGTGCGTCTGATACAGGCCATGGTCTTCACAATCACTTGTTATGCATCAGAGAGTTGGACAATGACCAAGGAGGATAGAAGGAGAATTGATGCCTTTGAGCTGTGGTGCTGGAGAAGAGTATTGAGTGTACCATGGGCTGCTAGGAAAACAAACAGATTTGTCTCGGAAAGGGTTAAACCGGGTGGCTCCTTGGAGGCAAGAATTCTGAAGCTCCGTCTAACTTACTTTGGACATGTTGTGAGGAGAGACAGGTCCTTGGAGAAGGACATCATGCTTGGGAGGGTGGAGGGACAGCACAGGAGAGGAAGGCCCTCTATGAGGTGGATTGATTCAGTGACTGGGATAATTGGGATGGGAGTGTCAGAGACAGTGCGATTGGCACAGGACAGAGTGGAGTTTAGGGCTGTTGTACATAGGGTCGCTATGAGTCGCAAGCGACTCGACGGCACATAATAACAACAACAACAACAACATTGTGTTGTTTATAAGACAGTCTATTACAGTCTTCTGCATAATACAAGCTTACTATAAAAAGAAAAATAAAGGATAAAAAAATAACATCACCCATAATCCAAGCACTCTGAAGTAATCATTGCTAATATTTTGATACATCTCCTTGCAAACATTTTCCATACAGGTACACTTCATTTTATTACACTTTGCTTTACTGCACTTAACAGATACTGTATTTTTTACAAATTGAAGGGTTGGGACAACCCTGAATCAAGCAAGTCCATCAGCCCTGATTTTCCCAATGGCATGTGCACCCTTTCTATTTCAGTGTTACATGAGGTAATTCCCACAATATTTCAATTTTCTTTTCATAATGCTACTGGGCATTTAGAGCACTGATGGTCTAATGAGTCAGGATTTGTGCTGCTAATCAACAATACACGGTTCGAATCTACCTGCTGCTCACTGGGAAAATGATGGACAATCTTCTCCCGTGTGATCTTCAGCCTCTGAAAATCCACTGGAGAGTCAGTGATGAATCAGTTCTGACTCGATGGCACATGACAATAACAAACAACACTGCATACTTAATATACTACTGTATAATGCAAAGTATAACATCTATATGCATTGTCCCTCACAGCTATTATTTCAGAACTGTCCAGCTGATTTTCAGAGGCTGTCAATCAAATGGGAGGAAACTGTCTATCTTTCTC